CTCACTCTGCCCGTGCTACGCGCATATAATGCTTGGATAATATTTACATATTTCTCGAGCACACCTTTCCTTAGTAGACAATTCCAAAGGGCACATCGATCAACCGAATCGAAGGCACCTTTGATGTCGAGGAACACGACAACGGTGGGCCGCCAATATGTGTGACGGTGCTCCAACAACTGACGCAAGGTGAAGATGTGGTCGATGCAGCCACGACCACGACGAAACCCGGCTTGCTCCTCACGAATCTGGCTTTCACGAGCGCCAGTCAGTCTGTGAAGAATTATGGAGGCGAGTAATTTGGAAGCGATGGAGATCAGACTGATCCCTCTATGGTTGCTGCATTCCGAGCGCGAGCCGCCTTTGAAGATGGGAACAATAACGGAGCGGCTCCAGTCGGTTGGGACAGTCTCCTGCTCCCACAGTTTCACTAGTAATTCATGTAAAGCATCAACAAGAGCAGAGCCTCCGAATTTGAAGAGGGCTGGAGGAAGATCATCTGGTCCCGCGGCTTTGTTCAACTTCAACAGTCCGATCTCACGTTCGACTTCTGAGCGAGAGGGTGGATCCAAAGGGACAGCCCACGGAGCAGGGCGATCAGTGGCCGGCGAAGAAACAAACAATTCTAGCCGATTAAATTGCTTTTCAAAATGCTCAGCCCAACGCTCCAAACGTTTTGACAAATTGTGGATAGGCTGTCCACTCTCATCACAAATTGTTTCACTAACACCAGGTCTCCTGCTGCCCGTTTCCCGTATCAGACGGAATAACACGATAGTTGCCAAGGGCAGCGGCCACTTCCATCTCTGACGCACGATGAGACCATCAAGATTTGCGGTCTCTCTTCAGGCTAACGCGGAGTTTTGCCCGGAGCTCTTTGCGAGTTTCATTGTGCTCGGTTCCAGCCTAGATATGCCGGCGAGCGTCGATGAGTTCCAGAGACCGAGAAGAGACCCAATGTCCATGTTGGCTATTAGACATACCACATGAAGATTTGCCTGCTGCTAGTAAGGTCTGGCGAACATGTGACCAGTGACCACCAGTTGTCTCCAGTGAGCGATTACTCAACTCGCATGTCAGCGTACTTCGATACGCATTCAGAACAGCTGGCTTTGTCAGTTGGCCGGTGTCAATGCGCTCACAACATCGTCTTGGGCGTCCGCCAAAGCGCATCCGCAGGTCAGCACATACAAGTGCATGATCGGTGTCCACACATGTGCTCCAAATCGAGCGACAATTCTGGATGCAGCCTCTCCAGCGGTAACTGATAGCAATGTGATCGATCTGCGTCCAAGGCTGGTTCGAGGCTGGTGGGCGCCAAGTCACCCTCCGGCGGGTGCTGTGTCGGAAATTAGTGCTCGCAAGAAATAAGCGAGCATCTTCACACAAATGAAGTAACCGCTCACCGTTATCATTACGGGAGCCAACACCATGTTGACCGCCCAGATGCATTTCATCAGTGGACAACTTTCCAACTTGTGCGTTCATATCCCCCGCCAGCACAACAGTGTCCGTGCTTCTTCTGTGGCGAAGGAGCTGGGTCAGTTGGCGGTAGAAGCTGAGGCAATATGCATACGCTTGACAAACCCTGAACATGATACAAACACTACAGCTTTCTTGGCCGACCACCAGACTGGAAGGAAGTGATGGCACTCCGCAACTCCACCTGGCTTCAGTCATGTGATCCGATGACTGCCATCATGCTCAATTGTTTCTTGGTTTTGCTGACTATTGCAACAAACCTTACCTTAATGTATATTATTGTATGAGCCTGACGAGGAATTATTCGAAACCTTGTTCGCTTAAAGCTTTGTTTTGTTTCTCTTTCTGAACTTGATGATGCGAAACGCCGAACTTTTGAATGTGCAGCGATAGAAAAGACAGTCACTAAGCTTTTACAGCGCTTGAAAGAGGAAAACATGATTGACTCTGCCACGTTCGAATACATTCGTCCCACAGGGACAGTGATCCCGAGACTCTACGGCTTACCGAAGGTGCATAAGGAAGGACATCCACTAAGGCCCATACTAGACATGTGCAATTCACCGTATCACGCAACAGCCAAGTGGTTAGCTAAGCTTCTAGAGCCGGTGAGAAATACTATTTCCAGGTACAGCCTACGGGACACATTCAGTTTCTTAGACTCCATAAGACAGCTTCAGCTAACCGGAAGAAAGATGTTTTCATTGGATGTGGTGTCGCTCTTCACCAATATTCCGTTAGAAGAGACAATAGACTATATATGTGACACCGTTCGAGATCATCAACTGGGTTTCGGCCTTTCAAGTGATCGATTGAAACAGCTACTCCTGCTGTGTATTAGTAACATACAATTTCAGTTTAACGGGGCCATACACAGACAAAAGATGGAGTAGCAATGGGCTAACCGCTTGGACCGCTACTGGCTGATGTGTTCATGAGCAAATTAGAGAATACTTATCTGAGCGGAGTCATTACTAGCCTGCCATACTACGGACGATATGTGGATGATATATTTTGCGTGACAGACAGACATTGTTGCCCAGAGACAATTTTATCACATTTTAACTCAGCGTACCCTGATGCTAAGTTCACTCTAGAAACTGAAGGCAGTGACACGATGTCCTTCTTAGACGTTCTTTTTCTTAGGAGACCAAATGGATCAGTCGACTTGAGGGTACATAGAAAAGCAACATAGAACGGACATTATGTACATTTTGCCAGCTTTGTCCCAATAAATCAGAAACGCAACTTGATTAGATGTCTAACCGAAAGGGCCAGAATGATTTGTAGTGAGGACACACTTGCGGACGAGCTCAGTTTCTTAAGTGGCGTTTTCGGAGAAACGGCTATCCAGTAAAGTTTGTTCTGAAATATATGGAATGCAGAGAAACGAGAACTAAACCAGCTTCGGTAGAAAAGAAACCGGTTTATTTGTCGTTGCTGTTCAAGGGGGGTGGTATAGCGCAGACAACATCTAGAATATTATCCCTCGCTATGAGCCATACGTACTACGCAGCGAGCTTGCGGCTAAGTTTTACTTCACCACCAATCGTGAGGCCCCACCTCAAAGACAGACTTCCTTGGTCATGTACTTCTTATTGTGTATATTCCTTCTCTTGTTCATGTCGAGCAAGATACATCGGAAGAACTACTAGGAGGCTGTCTGAGAGAATACGCGAGCATTGTCCAGCTAACCTACGCAATGGTGGGAGAAAAACTGTGATGAGCGCCGTGTTGGCACACTTGGTTGATTCTAATCACCAAATCGACACCCGCCAATCTTTCCAACCCATTTACCGTGTACCTGGACGTCTTTCACGTGCGGTAAAATGTCGCTTACTAGCAACAGCTGAGGCAATTGCTATCCGCCGCCAGAACCCAGACTTATGTGCTCAAAATCGATTCGTTCAGATTCTGTGTTTGCCCTGGCCCTCTATCACAACGACTCGTTGAGGGACATGCCGCCGATAGTCCATCGATCACTTCTGATCTGTTTTCTAGTTTTAATTTATCATCTCCGTCTCTTAGACAAATTCACTTTCACGGACTTCGCGAGTTGCACTTGCATCTGGGTGTCATTGGGTGTTAATTGGTCCAATCCCCACACTAGTGCTCTCGTCACCCTTAAACCCTCTGATTTCTCTCAATGAGTCGGTTATGCAGAACGAGAACAGTGTACTTAACGCAAGCATTGACCCAGTATGTTTCGAATCCCTGATGGATACCACAGAATTAGCTCACGATGACCAAGTATGCTGATTGCACAAGCAACCTGCGCAACAATTGGCGCATCGCCACCAATCCTATCTCTCAACATATGTCCACAGGGTTTCAGCACCCCATTTTCTATAACTTTCGATTTATAAGACATCGCATTCACATCGTTACAACCCCCCCCCCCGCACCTACTGGTTAATGAGCTCCACTCAAGCACGCTCATGGATAGACATTGTCTATTTTGTTTGGCTTAAAAACCATTAATAAGAAAGTGACACGGTTTCGAGCCGTCTATCATCGGGACACGGCGGCGGTAACAGAGCTGAGTCACACCGGAGGCTGATGTAATCAGTTCCTCATCATCACACGGGTTGCTACCCGACCTGCGATCACCCGGCTGTCACGCGAATAGCTGATGAAATCAGAGCATCAGCATGAAACAGGTTGCTACGTAACAGGGCGCGACAACAGCTGGCCAGTGCGAACTGGAAGCAAGTTTGAAATCTGTCCAGGACAAGTGGCTTGAGTCAGCTCAGGAACCTACAACGGGAGATGATAGATTGTGACCTATAAAATGAACCGTGTTCTATGCCTAATACACTTCGGTCTAGCAGGCTTCGGTGTTCTGTTTTGTCCCCGGTTGGGTGGGCAGTGGCAGAGAGCAGAGGGAGTGCAGCGTTACGACAACCGAATCTCCCTGTATCATTACCAGAAGAAACTAGGAAAACATTTAATCTTGGATTGCGTTGAAATGCTGTCTAAGTTGGTGGGTTATTTGTTGCAGTGAGATACATTTGTAAGACACTCATTCGTGTGCGTACTCGCTTTTTCATTAAGTTTTTCGTTTTCGCCTCTTTTTCACGCATCGCGTCCGGATACCCGACAAATTTGCTAGAATGGCATACCTGATGTCGCCTTGCTAGAAGTGGCAATCGTTTCAGTTGGCTGTTCACTGTCCATCGTTATTGTGGCACCACCTGACCTTTGTGAACTGTCAAATGGGCAGATATTGATTTAAACGAGCTGCAATGCGAATCTAGCCTATGGTGTGCGGGCAACTTTGAGCAAAGCACCTTGGGACCACACAATTACCCTCTTTCCACAACCTGTGCACTCCTTTGTTGATTGAGAGTACTGTTGGTCGGGACATCATCAAAACATGTTCACTTTGGCGATCTCTTATTTTTATACTTGCTATTCGTTCTGCTTTACTAGTATCCTTGGGCACAAATTTCATTGTCGTCAATCACATAGCAAGCGAACACTGTGTGTTATCACGCTGTCGCTGTTTGTTTCCAGCGTTCCCCAAACGACCTACTCGATTTGGCCCCTTGTACATAGCCGACGGGGCGAATTCCTCAATCCGTTCTACAAACACGCCGAGCATTGGAATATGGCCGCTCACTCTTCCTACTTAGTACACAACGATGATCGTATTGACGACTCAGTTCCCAACGGAATCGAACTATCCACCTTTGATGACACAATAGATCAGACTCAACATACCGTTGATATGCTTCCCGCTTTTCTCCTCTCTCCCCAGCTGTTTCAGTGAGTATGACCCCACTTCACCTTCTATCGATGTCTGCCTCTCCTTTATCCAGTCCTCTAGTTTTGTCCACACTTTCTCTCACTGTACTGTAATTTAGAAACATTTCATCTCGAGACGAATGGTAATTTTCATATTTATTTTGCGTTGCAGTCTCTGGAGCGGATTGTTTCTGAGGTGGGAGTGGCGTCTTCCCAATTCGGACCGATGCTCTTTGGATAGCTTGTGCGATTTGGTCCGCGGCACCCAAACCTTTATGGCGCACCAGCGCCTTCTGAACATTCGAATAAGCCAGCTACAGAAGCTGCTCCGAAAACCGGTCAATGATGTTCCGGTGCAAGTTTCTGGATCCGATACGGAATCCGAAGACAATGACTCTTCATCCGCTGAATCCGTGAGTTCGCTACGCACTTACCTAGTGATTTTGCACAAACGTATTATCGCTATGGATTCATCACTCTAAGGTGTCAAAAAGGCGACTGCAATCTCGAGATACCTGTTGTGTCGCTTGATACGGGGGAAACCGACCCTTTTTAGTATCCATTTTCTAAATACCTGCACCACTCTAGGGCGCTTGCTTATCGAGAGCTTAACTGAAGGACTCATATGGTTTGGCGCTCCCTGAAGACCGGAAACAGTCGCGTGTTGTTTCAAGTCGTCGGAAACACGGACCCATGGCGCCATTGGTTTAAACGCTTGTTACGATATTTTACAAAACTTTGTAACCGCTTCGCTTTGTGGCCGTCGTTCACCGGTCCGTAGCCTAAAGATAACGAGCTTATCTTGTAATCTGACGGCACGGGTTCGAATCTGCGTAGGGGCAGGGCGACCCTCGCAGTATCCTTAGCTCACTTGCGACCGGTGGTAGTTGCGGTGCAGCGAAGCGTCGGTACTGCGTACCGGCGTACTGCTGATGTCGTTCTTTTCTTCTTTTCTTGTTGATTCACCATAATCGACTTGTGATGCTCAAGCCACGGCTCACTACCTCCATTAGATCCGACATGAATTGGCACTGGTGTGGTAGAACAGAACACCACTGCGTTGACGATTCTGTCCCTGCACTACCCTACCTATTTATGAAACGTGACGATCGTTTCACTGGACTCCCCATTGTTCATGAGGATTGTGGCGCAACTTGGCCCTTATGTATTGTCAGATGGACAGCTAACTGAGCAGTTTGTTATCCAGCAGCCGCATGAGAAGCGTGCCCTCTGCATTAGCAATCGATTAGCACACATGTGATAATTCCTCGGGATGCATTGTAGAGCCGGATTCTGTGCATACACTGAACGCCACTGGTCCTATAAGTACTTCGACTTGTGAACTCGACTTAATAGTTTGAAGCGATTACTAACTTCGAAACAGAACCGCCATGCTACATCTAGCCCGATAGAACACGTAACGATGACTATAGCCGCGAGGTATCGTAGTGCCAGATAGCAACATCGATTAGGTACTGCTCCAACCATCGCGACGCGGACATTCACCCCAATTTTCTTCACGTTATCGAAAGGGATCAAGTGTCACGAGCCGATTGTGTCCTAGATGATGCTATAAATCTTTCCATAACTGTTGGCCTTCAGTGATCCAATTCAACCGCAGTTGGCGCACCTACGTGGTGGTTCATTACGTTACGCCAAGTGGTACTCTCTGTAGTGATAATTGGTGAAGGCAGGCAGGAGGCCAACTAGTCGCTGCCGACACTAACTGACCACGCGTGGACGAGCCAGAGCTCGAAATCAGGATTAGCTCATCTTAGAAGAGACAAAGCACAGCTTTGTCACAGACAACAGCATAGTGGATTGCCTGGAACAGTCGTGAGCAGACGAAGCATATACGCCGTGCAGGCAGACAAAGGAGAACTGACGCGCCCAATCATTAGTCAGGACGGAGTAAGTAGACGGAGCAGATATCTATTGAAACGAGCAGAACTTGCGGACCACTAAACATGGACGGTAGAGGACGCGGAAATATGAAGTGACCAATAAGAAGCAGTCGCAACCAAATTACGCCCCCCCCCCATTTATGTACAGTATAAACGCTGCTTTGCTTTACGAATAACCGATTTTGATCGTTGTCCACATCTTGTTTTGCCTCTTGGCTGTCTATGCGGCACGGCGACTTCAGAGCTACTCATAGCAAATAGATCCAAGGCTGCAAGTCAGCAAACTCAGTTGAGGCCATGGAATACAGTAGTTTTTGAGACATTACTTCATCCGGTATTATGTAGATCCTGAGCATCGCTAGTTACTTTTGATAACCGAAAAGCCTACCTACTCAATGATATATTTCCCCAGTCCTTAGCCAGTTTTCCACTGACAAATGGGGTGCAGACCCTTTGGAACACATCCACTCTCAATGGTGATTACGAATGCATCATCTGACATAGTCGATAAGCATTTAAATTCCCCTAGCCATCCTAAGGATACGTGTGTTTCGGTTCAGTTCATTTGTACAACTTTTATCCGGGCACCGGATAAGAATGATTAATAACGGTTAGGAAATGAGGTTGAATGCAAATAAAATGGACTAAAGACAGAAGTGCATAGAACTAATCGGAATCGAAGAATTATGCTCAACAGCAAAATGCAAGAAATCGAATGTAGGTTCGCTGCTGTACTGCGCCATGTCTGACACAGTCTCTAACCACTGGTGTGGAAGACGGCACGCTTCAGTCTCTCTCAGTCAATTTTTTCATTACTTTATGTCACGTCATCCATTGCTCACCTCGCGGTTTCGCCCAACTTGCACGCCGAGAAAGCCGACCAACGGGCGTGCGGAGGACGACCAAGTCAAGATAAGCCATTGAGCTCGTGCAAACGCGAGTGAGGCCACAGGGAGCTTCTTGCGAAAAAGCGACTAGCGCACCTCAGCATTGTTGAGCCAGTGTTCCCACCAGAAGTGAGAAATATGCACATGCACCGGTGATTGAACGCGGCCAAACACTTAATGTGTCTTCACTGCAAACATGCCAGGCCCATGCAGTAACACTGGCCTAATCACAGCATTATACACCCTGCTCTTCACTGACAGGCTGGTACTCCGCCATCTCCATACATGGTTGAACATCTTGAAAGCCACACGCGCCTTGCTGGTACTCGAGGTGACTTCCTCGGTGATGTGACTACCGGAAGTCACACAGCCACCAAGGTAAGTGAACCGACCCACCGTTTCTGGTGGCTGTTCCTTGATAGCTGGAACCGGTGCTGCATCGGTCCAGTTCTGCAGCACTACTTTGCACTTTGAAAATGCAAAGTACGTGCCGGAGCGTGTAGCTTTACACCTCACTCTGTTTAATACTGCCTGCATGACCACTGCGTCAAGTCCATGGATAGTTATGTCGTCCGCCTATTCAAGCTTTTTGTGTCGATCACTTGACAGTCAGAAAGAAAGGAATCATGTATGATCATTTCGATGACAAAGTTGGAGGGGAGAGGAAATATAGGGCAATTTTGTAGAACCCCACTTGTTGTGGTGAACTCAGGATACAACTTCCCGTAGATCCTTAACCGGCCTCGGGAGTCATGGTAAGGTGACTTCAGAATGATAAAGAGTTTAGCTGCCACGTCTTTCACGGATAGGTAGTGTCACAAGCTAGCACGATCAGCAGAGCCGAAGGAGGCTTTTAGGTTAACGAAAGCAACCATAGTCGGTCGGCTGTGTGTCTCTTATCTAACACTTGACGATGATTACATATGTGGTCGATGCGACCACTATTCAGGCGTAAGCTAACCTGACTTTCAGTGATTCGGCTCTAACGAGGACCAGTAGATCATCTCAGGATGGTATTTGTCAGAAATTTAAGGGTAATGAGAATAAGGCTAATGATTCGATAACTTTTTGCACAAAATCGGTCAACCCTTTTTGAAGATGAGCACGACAGTTGGCACTCACTTGTCTGAATGCACATCTAAAGTGTTTCAAATAGTGTTGAATAAAGTAGCAAGTCCAGTCAATGGAGAGTGACTTCCATTTTTCAGCAATAATTCAGTAAGTTTGTTGGGTCCAGGAGCCGTGTTTTATTTTAACACGGGTATCTAATATCAGAAGGTGTGATACATCGGGTCAGGAGATCCAGCAAACGACATCGCTGCGATAGGTCTACTGAACTGCTCTTCGAAACATCCCATCCAACGGTCTAGTCGATGCCGCTGAGAATGGATTAATCGTCCATTCTTTTTGGCTATTGTCCCACTGTGAGCTCTCTTTAACTCGAGTTCTGGATAAGCTGTAGCAGTTTTCGAATGTTCCCAATGGCACTGGCTTTCTCCGTCTCACGGGTCTTTGCCACCCACTAACATTCTCGATGTCTCAGCGATCCACTTACTGTTCAGACGTGCCAAGTTGGGCGTACAGCAAGCGATAAATCATTCAGCCTGGCACGTTTGAAAGGATTCTAGTCAACGTTCGGCTTACTAGCCTTTCATTGCTGACAATCGGTGGACCTCTTCATCATGATATTGTGGAACAGCGGACTACGAGTTCAAATTACAGGTGAGAAGCTTAGAACTTAGGCGGTTCTTTGTCGTGAGAAGATTGAGCGCTGGGCTTACGCTCCTTCGAACATGCTCTGAATCCAGACACGTACTCTAAATTGATCGACAGACTTAAACCGATGTGTGCTATCTGTACATGATGACAATATGGTCGATTTGGATCCAGGTCGTCGAAGAATTCGGTGCGCGCCAGGTTACACAGTGTGAACGTTCGTGTTGAAAAACAGTGCTGCTAATATAAAGATTGTGGTCGTCGCATAGATACAGGGACCGATCGCCATTGTCCGTTCGACGTGCACTGTCGCGGAGCAGCCCCCCAGGCGTTGTTCACAATCGACATTCGTGTCACCAGTAGCAATCACGATATCAACACTTTTCGCCATACGGGTATGAGCTGAGGATAGAAGGCTTCCATATCCTCCGAACTGCATTCAGTGTGGGCAAAATCCAATGCGATTAGATGGCACCTTGTCTTCAGACGGTACTTGTTAACATCAATAGCGTTTCGAAATCGGATCCCACACATGCGACTGTTCACTGGTATCCAGTCGACTAGGTCGCTGTTGGTTACACTCATCCGGAGACGCTGATGCGGCAATCACTGGTCTAGCTGGGTGAGCATTGTTTTCAACTCCAAGGCTGAGTCATCGTTGATTGATTGTATTCCGATGAACAGTCGTTTGTGGGTAGCCCGTTTGACGACGTCGACCAAGATCGATCCACGAAGTAGTACGAAACGCTATTTGTTTATGGTTTCTGCTCATGCTCCTACGGACTATAGTCGTGATGCTGCCAAGGACACCTTTCACGACTTAAACACCCTATTACGCATTGCTACCAGTTCAGATATCATAGTACTCTCAAGGGATATGGATGTGCAAGTTGAACGCATTGGCTGCTCAGAAGCTCAGCTGGATGCTAAGCGTAGACTTAACTCCGTCCGTACGGACAGTGGTGAGTGTCTGTTGCAACTCTGCGCGCAGCACCAAGTGTTTCTTAGTAGTGCAGCTTTCCGACACAGTGGGCGCCAAAGTGCCACTTGGCGTCCCCTTTTAGCATGCTAGCGATAGATCACAGTGCCATAGGTTGCAGGCGGTGTGATTTCATCCTTGCTTGTCGCTCCTTCTTGAATACCTGTGTCGATCCTGATCATGCCTTGGTACGCTATCTTTTTTCCGTGAACTTTACCTGGTGGTGTACCTAGTGCCTTGTCTGAGAAGTTATTCCAACCCTGGATTGAGGAAGAGCAAGCAGGTTTACGCTTGGAATGGTGCTATCGCACCTTCAAACTATCTCAGACTGACCGTAGCCGTGCTACTCGACTTCAGTGTGCGTTCGGCTCATTTGATCGATCCATTATCTTCGAAGTGCCCGCGCGGAGAGATGTTCCCATGAAATATGTGAACATATTACATTCCCTCTACTCCAATACTACATGCGGCGGCAGGGTCTACGAGGAGTTCTCTGATGTCTTTTCGACAGCAAGTGGCGTTCCTCCGGCTTGTCTGACCTCCCTTGTTTTGTTCCTCATCGTAGTGTACTCCATCACGGAGTGTTCCCTTGCGGAATCTCACGATACATGCGTTTAAGCGTTGTCCTGTTATGCAAACGATATTGTCTTGCTGTTTATCGATATTGGCGTGGCCTGGGCAATCTTGAATAAACTCTATAGAATACTCCCATTATTTAGCATGCGCTTTGGACCTAAAATTGATCATGGTAATACGAACACGAATGATCGGTATCTGTACAAAAATATTATAAGTTAGGCAGTAGCATACTGGATGTATACGCGTATACGTATATGTAGCCATGTTGATTAAATTTGTTAGTGTGACGCTACATTTTCGATTGATCGACTCGCCAGCTTAAGAAGGGATCAGAGGAACTCTTCGAAGGGTGTCTGACGTACGTTGTGTAGGTAACATCATACGAATAGGTAAGAGGCAATCACTTTATTTATTGCTGAGCCACATTCGCCACGTCGCAGTGTTCTTAAAGACATTTGTGCTTTTATGGGGAGAACGATTGTCATCCCAAATTCTAGAAATTTAACTGGGAGCGGGAATGTGTACAACGATGTCAAAAAATAATGATGATTCAAAAGAACCTTTTTCGTTCTTTTTCACACGCCGTTCTTTCTATTTCTGTCAGTTTTAAGAAGTTAGTACTTTTGAAATCGGGAGTTCACTCAGACTTGTGCGCATTGTTTTCACGACAGCCGGTTTTGTCGCCAGGTGGTCGGCTGACCCCCACCGGCATCTTCGAATGGAGCCCTGTATACACCAACAGAGCCCAGCGTGGCAACCACTCGCCAGACATGCGTAGGACGTGGTCAAGCCATCTCAACTGGCGCAATGGAACAAGCTCATAGAGCGGAGGATCCGCCTTGCCAAAGACGCGTTGTCTGATGTCATCATTGCGCAGCCAGTGTTGCCACCATACACGGCCGATCCTCCGCAGACCGACGTTGTCGAAATCCGAAGCCGTATGCAGGTCGTCCACTCAGATCGGCCAGAATTCGCATTCATGAAAGAGCACCGCCTGAACACAGGCATGGTAAGCCCTACCTTTTAGCAAAAGCGAGATGTCGCGATGCCGCCACAAATGACTCAAATTGGCAAAGGCCAAGCGGACTTGAGCGATACAGATACACCTCTCCAATAGTTCCGTCGGCAGAGACATTGCTCCCAAGGGAAACAAAACTATCCACCTGCTCAATCCGAGTGTTTTCGATAAAGAGCTGAGGGAGAGCATTCTGCCAATCCTGTGTCACCACTTTACACTTTGAGGAGGCAAAACACACCAAACGCCGGCACTTGGAGCACCTATAAATGGTCAAGGGTCAATTGTTTGCCATAAGGACCATGACCGAGCAAGGCGGTGTCATCTGCGTAATATAATTAGGCTGCACGACTACCTGGAAGGAGCTCAGTTCCAGGATTCTGTAAGTCTTCTGACGCTCCCAACAGGACATCCATCGCGAAGTTGAAAAGAAATGAGCACATACGGCATCCTTTTCGCACACCACTTGTGACTGGTTATACTGTGGAAATCTTGCCGTAGGCTCTTACTCTGCCTGAAGTGTGGAGGTATAGTGTCCGAAGAATAGTGGCGTACTTTTCCGGGACTCCGTTTTTGAGTTGGCAATGTCATAAAGCAGGTCGGTCTATCGAGTCGAATGCATAAAACCCGCATTTCCTGGGACACGACGATGATGAGTCTGCGGTGCACGTGGCGATGTTCGAGGAGCTGATGAAGTGTGAATATATGATCCAACCAACCTCTGCCAGGGCAGAAACTAACCTGCTCCTCCCGGTAGTGCGCCTCGCGAGTTGGCGATAGCCTGCACAACATGATGGATACTACCAGCCTGGACGCAACTGATATCAGACCGATTACTCTGTGATTGGTACATGAAGTCCGAGAGCCTTTCTTGTAAACTGGAATAATAACTAACTCTCCCCATGTAGAGGGGACCTTTTCTCCTCCCCAGATCTTCAGACATAGAGATGTTAGCTGAGTGACAATTTCCGCACTATTTATCTGGAGGAATCTTTTCTGAACTAGCCGCCTTAAAGCGTTTTAATCGTCTAACCTCCAAGCGAAATTCCGCTTCAGTGGGCGATTACAATGACACAGTCCATGGCATAC